ATAATAAGTTATCTCCCCTATTGCTGGTACCTGTCTATTCACTTAATGTAATTAGTGGAAACTACAGTTATAACAGTACTTGATACTTACCAGAGTATATGTGCATTACAACAGTACTGTTAATTCTAACATGAACATTATAACAATACTGAATACAGTAATGTACAGTTTAACATCACTTATACTAAATTATGTATATTGATACTATAGAATTAAAACATCTAATTTTAACCTGAGTGTTCCAATTGAAGTTTTCGAACATTGCTATCTGTCACACAATTATTCATTCATTATTTGAAACACTTTTATTCTTTGACTGACCTACATGTACTTTACGAAATGAAAGCTAATTGGATTAGATACTTGGTACAGTGGTGTTATAATTACTGCTGGCCCAGACAATGAGAATCTGGGTCTATCAATTAACTTTTCATCACTTGCATTAACTATTTACTATAGTTAACTTTCCCAATTAGAGTTTATAGTCCATTGTTTTTGCCTGCCAGGAGAGATGAAAGTGTTCCACATCATGACCACCCCAATCTGTCAGACCTCCCCCTGACAGGGGGGCACACGCCTGTTTACATAGGATCAGATGGCTTCATTATTGAAACAGATCAGAGATGGAATAACACAGGCAGTAAACAATTCATTGACGGAGTTCGTAGCCTGTCATTTATCAACTTTCACTTGTAGAAAGCTAAACAATTGTGCGCTATATATAAGGCAGTTGATAACTAAAGCCAAACATCATAGCTTTTATGTGAAACTTTCCATTAACTCATTGTGAATATTTATTAGACGGATGAAATCAATGAAACTAAAAGGCTTGCTACATCAAAAACAAGCAGGAAGCTGAGCTTGATACCTGTGAGGGGGGCTATTGTCTGTGTAGCATCCGAAACAATAGGAAATTTGTGTATATAGCACACCCTCCCTAGACCTGGTGTGTATCAGACCATCATGATAAATGGTGCAGAGCCAATAAGGGCTGAGCCAGCAGGAAGTCCCTAATTAGGGGCTAGTACAAGTTTGGTGGCAGTGAAGGGCTGATTGGTACTTTTGGGGAGGGGGAAATGGAGGTATGTATCTGTGGGGGAGGGAGGAAAGGAGGGAAATTATTTGGTCATTAGGGGCATCCGAGGTCAAACAAGGTCAATGGTTTCATTAGTTATATTTTGCTGCCAATTTAGAGAGTACAAAGAAGTCTTTAGGGCTTGGTTATAACAGGGGCCCCCAGGGGACCAAGGTCAGCATTGTAGCAGGATGTGGTTTGGTCAGTACTGTCAGACATGTTCAGGTCAAAAAGTGTGAAGAAAATGTGTGCTTCCTGATAAAAGGCAGTTATGGATGTCAGTTCACATTAGTACAATGACCTGGACCATTTATAATCCCTCTGTCAATACAGTTACAATCCCTCTGTCAATAAAGTTACAATCCCTCTGTCGATACAGTTACAATCCCTCTCTCAATACAGTTACAATCCCTCTGTCGATACAGTTACAATCCCTCTGTCGATACAGTTACAATCCCTCTGTTAATACAGTTACAATCCCTCTCTCAATACAGTTACAATCCCTTCGTCAATACAGTTACATTCCCTCTGTCATTACAGTTACAATCCCTCTGTGAATACAGTTACAATCCCTCCGTCAATACAGTTACAATCCCACTGTCAATAAAGTTACAATCCCTCTGCCAATAAAGTTACAATACCGTTGTCAATACAGATACAATCCCTCTGTCAATACAGTGACAATCCCTTGGGCAATACAGTTACAATCCCTTTGTCAATACAGTTACAATCCTTCTGTCAATAAAGTTACAATCCCTATGTAAATACAGTTAAATTCCCTCTGTCAATACAGTTCCAATCCCTCTGTCAATACAGTGACAATCCCTTGGGCAATACAGTTACAATCCCTTTGTCAATACAGTTACATTCACTCTGTCAATACAGTTACATTCCCTCTGTCATTACAGTTACAATCCCTCTGCCAATACAGTTACAATCCCTTCGTCAATACAGTTACATTCCCTCTGTCATTACAGTTACAATCCCTCTGTTAATACAGTTACAATCCCTCTGCCAATACAGTTACAATCCCTCCGTCAATACAGTTACAATCCCACTGTCAATAAAGTTACAATCCCTCTGTCGATACAGTTACAATCCCTCTGTGAATACAGTTACAATCCCTCTCTCAATACAGTTACAATCCCACTGTCAATAAAGTTACAATCCCTATGTAAATACAGTTAAATTCCCTCTGTCAATACAGTTCCAATCCCTCTGTCAATACATTTACATTCCCTCTGTCAATAAATTTACAATCCCTCTGTCAATGCAGTTACAATCCCTCTGTCGATACAGTTACAATCCCTCTCTCAATACAGTTACAATCCCACTGTCAATAAAGTTACAATCCCTCTGCCAATACAGTTACAATCCCTTTGTCAATACAGTTACATTCCCTCTGTCATTACAGTTACAATCCCTCTGCCAATACAGTTACAATCCCTCTCTCAATACAGTTACAATCCCGCTGTCAATAAAGTTACAATCCCTCTGTCGATACAGTTACAATCCCTCTGTTAATACAGTTACAATCCCTCTCTCAATACAGTTACAATCCCTTTGTCAATACAGTTACATTCCCTCTGTCATTACAGTTACAATCCCTCTGTTAATACAGTTACAATCCCTCTCTCAATACAGTTACAATCCCTTCGTCAATACAGTTACATTCCCTCTATCAATACAGTTACAATCCCTCTGTCAATACAGTTACAATCCCTTTGTCAATAAAGCTTATTTACTACATAAATTCTTATTGAGTGTTGTTTTTGAAGGCTTGTTATACAATAGCATGGTGTGAAGGTGGCAGGTTATGTTCTATACAACTGTTGGAGTGAATTATTGAAATTCACTCATATGTTTTACAGATCAGTTACAGCAGGGAAACGTTCATCATATCCTGGGCAATCAGTTTTTGGCAAAAAAACAAATCTGACTAGGCTTGTAAGTAAATGCCATAGAGAAGGGCCAGGCCAGGCGGCACCTCACCACTCATATAGTTTAGTAGAAACAAGATCGGCAGATTATCATAGAAAATCAAATCTGGTATTCAAAATTATGTGTGTTTTTCTGCTGGGACCATTATCTGGCCATGGGCCCAAGTTATGTATCTATCCTTTCCTCATCCTTAACAGTGCAGAAGCATATGTTATGACCGAAATGATGGATGATGTATTCGGCCTGGACAGGCCATTGTTTGGATCTCACTAAAGGAAGTGGGCACCATTAGTGGTGATATGCTGCACTCATTGGTCATCCAACCTATCTATTTGGCCTATTTTCTGTTTTAAATGTTCACCCCACTTTTACATGAGAAGTGACCTTGCACACACAGACTGCCTGTCCTGTATACCAGTCTGATGTTCTACTTTGGCAGGGAGAACAAACCAACGCTCGGACAAGATGTCCTAAAACATACTGGTGGTCTTCTCAAAGGAAATAGATATCTCAAGCTGAGAGGGAGAATGTTTGTCTTGTGATGCTTATCAAAGGTGCAAAATAGTGTTTTACACACAAGTTCTGACCTCTGTCAAGTATGCGTGAAGTTTTCAGTTTGAAGAATGTGTTTGTTGTCAGTTTAATGGCTGAAACTGTAACCAACCCTATCGGTGGTGTTGATAGCCATGTGGGGGTGCAGTTCTGTGTCAGGGGCCATTGTTCTATCTTAGACCTGAATTTTGGTCCTGACCTTAGACAAAATGGTAATTTTATCATCAGTTATTGGAGGCAGAAAACAAAAAAAATTGTCTGAAACTTCAATCCACAGGGTTTGACCTGACACACCATCCCTTTTTATGTTACAGGATTCCTGATGTATTAGGCCTTATCTACACTTTTAATTGATGTTGTCTCACAGCATCACTTGTCATGTAATAAAGGGTGCCATCACAGCATCCCTCCTCATGTAATAAAGGGTGCCATCACAGCATCCCTCCTGAGGTCTAGGGGGCCTTTAGCGTCATATGTTATAAGGATGCCTTATAATACAGGTCCTTTCTTGGGTTGGTGGAAGATTTTTGCAAGACTAGATTTCAAATATCTGCCAGTAAAAAGATATACACTACATTTATAACACAGAACCAATGTGTACAGGACCAGTTTTCAGATCAGTATGGGGATGTTGGTGGTCCCTCAGCTGACCTATAGATTTCTGGTGTGGTCACTGACCAGCTGACCTATAGATTTCTGGTGTGGTCACTGACCAGTTGACCTTCAGATTTCTGGTGTGATCACTACACATGATCAGTTGACCTTCAGCTTTCTGGTGTAATCCTTGTTTAGTTGATCTAGTAGATTTGTGGATTTTACATTAAGAAAACAAGAAATGTTGATGGTTTCCTGATGAATTAAGGTAACAGGTATATTAGTGATGAAGATCCTCTATCACACTGCCAGGAATGCCTGATATCTATTACACTGAAATTGCTCTACACTTAATCTTCAGACAGATCAAAGACTTACATCCCCTAGCTCCAGATAATTTTTATCATTTATGGAATCAGGATTTAATCTTTACTCAAACTATATACATATCACTATTTGAGCACTTAATGTTTTTTCCCAAAAATGTTTTGAGAAATGAAGTTATTTGTATACCTTCAGATCATGCTGCAATGTTATTAGCTGCCATTCAAGTACAGAACAAATACATATTTATGAAATTTAAAAGCATCTAAATATCTTTAATCAACACTCACTTGTCCAAGTTTTGTTTCTACATGTGGTGAATAGTTGGCACATATTTTCTTCCTTTTGCTTCTGTTTGTGTTTGTATATCATATTTGAATCAGAATAAAACCACTCATTTTTCCTTATTTCTGTATTAATCAGATGCAAATATAATTTAAGTTGGTTTAACTGAACTCTGTTTCTTCTTTTTATTTCATTTCTTCAAGATTACTTTTGCTTTTGCTTTATTTAGTTTTGCCGTCAAAACCAAAACCTACAAGAAAAACAACAAGAGAACCAACTACTGATGGTAAGTTCAATCTGCTTCACTAACCTGCTTGACACTAGTGTGTTCTACTAATCTGTATAGACACAACTGTAGTCTTCAACAGCTAATTAAGAGCTTGTCATACAACTATAATCTTCATTACTGAAAAGTGTGTAAGACAACATTAGTCTTCACTGCTAGATTTTAAAGCTTGCAACACCAATATATTCTTTAGTACTAAAAGAATGTTGTCATGGAAGACACTGTCTTCATATTTTTTTAACGTACATCAGCATGTCTGTTTCAAGGAATTTATGCATGGTATGGAATGCAAAAATAACTAAAAATGTTTTGACCTAATCAAAACACTTTAAAAAATGTTCAGAAAAATTTGATGGTGTTTGATTTAGTTTTATATATCCCATCTATGATGTTCAAGCATCTCGATAATTGCCAAATTGCCCCAATAAAACTTTCGACATGGAAGGTTGTTAATATGCAATAAAACTTCAACATTTGTGTTTGATTTGCTCTGCTGATTCTTCGATAAGTGGGCAGCATGTTTTCAAAGTGTACTGAGCTTTTACAGCTACGCCTGGTGTAACACCCTAGCTCATGCAAAAGAGATGTTACCTCTCAAAAGCTCCGTCAGTAAAACTCCTGAAGGAAGTAAAGTTTAAAAGAAAAAATCCGTACACATTTCTTGTTTGCTGATAGGGTACTTGGAGCACTTAAATAGTCTGTAGAGATTTACCTGTAAGGTGTGAGAGTCGTGGGAGTACAGGTGCTGTTATCACACCTGTTGTACCCACACAAACAACTCTAAGATCATTGCCAGACTTAGACACCTGTTCTACACAGCTACGTCTTCAAACAAAATTGTAGCGGGTGCTGGAGGTGGTCGGCACACTCTAATTGGTGGCGAGCACTGGACAGGTGTGATGTTCAACACAAGCTTGTCTCTGCAGCTTGATAGCAGCAGAACATCAGTCAAAGCTAGATAATGCATGTTGTTTTTGTTGGTACACTTTGGTTGGTAACACACATCAACAATTTAAAGCAAGACATTTTGATGGATGTTTGGCGAGTGTTGAGATATTTCTGTACGTGTTTTGGTAATTGTTAAAGTACTTCTGTTCTGTGTTTTGGTGAATGTTGAAGTATTTCTGTTCTGTGTTTTGGTGAATGTTAAAGTATTTCTGTTCTGTGTTTTGGTGAATGTTGAAGTATTTCTGTTCTGTGTTTTGGTGAATGTTGAAGTATTTCTGTTCTGTGTTTTGGTGAATGTTGAAGTATTTCTGTTCTGTGTTTTGGTGAATGTTGAAGTATTTCTGTTCTGTGTTTTGGTGAATGTTGAAGTATTTCTGTTCTGTGTTTTGGTGAATGTTGAAGTATTTCTGTTCTGTGTTTTGGTGAATGTTGAAGTATTTCTGTTCTGTGTTTTGGTGAATGTTGAAGTATTTCTGTTCTGTGTTTTGGTGAATGTTGAAGTATTTCTGTTCTGTGTTTTGGTGAATGTTGAAGTATTTCTGTTCTGTGTTTTGGTGAATGTTGAAGTATTTCTGTTCTGTGTTTTGGTGAATGTTGAAGTATTTCTGTTCTGTGTTTTGGTGAATGTTGAAGTATTTCTGTTCTGTGTTTTGGTGAATGTTGAAGTATTTCTGTTCTGTGTTTTGGTGAATGTTGAAGTATTTCTGTTCTGTGTTTTGGTGAATGTTGAAGTATTTCTGTTCTGTGTTTTGGTGAATGTTGAAGTATTTCTGTTCTGTGTTTTGGTGAATGTTGAAGTATTTCTGTTCTGTGTTTTGGTGAATGTTGAAGTATTTCTGTTCTGTGTTTTGGTGAATGTTGAAGTATTTCTGTTCTGTGTTTTGGTGAATGTTGAAGTATTTCTGTTCTGTGTTTTGGTGAATGTTGAAGTATTTCTGTTCTGTGTTTTGGTGAATGTTGAAGTATTTCTGTTCTGTGTTTTGGTGAATGTTGAAGTATTTCTGTTCTGTGTTTTGGTGAATGTTGAAGTATTTCTGTTCTGTGTTTTGGTGAATGTTGAAGTATTTCTGTTCTGTGTTTTGGTGAATGTTGAAGTATTTCTGTTCTGTGTTTTGGTGAATGTTGAAGTATTTCTGTTCTGTGTTTTGGTGAATGTTGAAGTATTTCTGTTCTGTGTTTTGGTGAATGTTGAAGTATTTCTGTTCTGTGTTTTGGTGAATGTTGAAGTATTTCTGTTCTGTGTTTTGGTAATTGTTGAAGTATTTCTGTTCCGGTTTGGGTGAATGTTGAAGTATTTCTGTTCTGTGTTTTGGTGAATGTTGAAGAATTTCTGTTCTGTGTTTTAGTAATTGTTGAAGTATTTATGTTCTGTGTTTTGGTAGTTGTTGAAGTATTTCTTTTCTGTGTTTTGGTAATTGTTGTAGTATTTCTGTTCTGTGTCTTGGTGAATGTTGAAGTATTTCTTTTCTGTGTTTTGGTAATTGTTAAAGTACTTCTGTTCTGTGTTTTGTTGAAGTACTTCTGTTCTGTGTTTTGGTGAATGTTAAAGTATTTCTGTTCTGTGTTTTGGTGAATGTTGAAGTATTTCTCTACTATGCAAGATGTTTTGGTAGTGTTGATGTATTTACTGTAAACTCTACTAAGTTTATTGATATATTTGTGGGATTTTTGAGGTTTTGTGCTTTCGTGCCAACATTGGTAAGATAAGAAAATTTGATGTTAGTAATGGGCAATAAAAGTATCATACTGTAATTATACTGTTTAGAATCGTCCATATTGTCAGAAGGAATAGTTTGAAGTGGATAAGGTCACAATAAAGTTGTGGTAGTCAGCAGTATTCCATTCAATTGTATTTCAGTGCAATGGGAAGGAACAAGTGTCTGGAAATATCTAAAGACTTGCAACTGTGAAATGTTTGCAGTAGATTGTATTTTATCTGCTTTTAGAACTCAAACATCATCATAAATAATGGAAAAAATATTCTGCAAAAAGTTTCAAGTCTGTCTGTTGGCTCAAAATGTGATAACATGAGTTGAAAATAAATTAAGCTTATCTTGGACCAAAAGTGTGAAGTCCAGACATTTTTGAGTAGTGATGGTGAGTATGAGGTAAAGCTCAGGGAAGTGGAGGTGTTTCCCTGTCAGGATACCACACAATAAATCGTAACTAAGGTGACATTCTGCCCTCACCCCACCTGTTTCTATGATTGATTTCATCAGATTCTAACAAATCTTGATTTTATAGATAATTTTTAGCTAGTTTTGTATCTTAGATAGTCTGTGTCCTTATAAATCTTGAACAACCTAGTTCATCAAGACAGTGTTCTTAAAACTCTGTTTTCTTTTTTTTTATCAAGACAGTGTCCCTGTAAATCTAGATTATTTCCAGCAGGAGGAAGTGTCCTTTTAAATCTGGTGAAATCTTTTTATATTTGGTCTATAAATAATTTGCTATAAAACACCCTGTTTACCTGAGAATTACACAAAAAGTTAAGAATGTAAAGCTACTAAGAAATGTAATGGGATAAAAAATTATGGATCTGCTGGTGCATCCGATCTTCAGCAAATGGCTGCGTAATTTAGCAGCGGGAGCTCACGGGGAACTACCACCAGGATATCCAGGGCGGGTTCTCTCAGGAGCTGAAGAATGCTCAAACAGAACCTTCAAAACCGTTTGAAATTATTTTTGAAAGTTAAATTAGTTGATTTTGAGGAAACATAAATGCTGCCCAACAGGTGCCCTGTGTAATTTGTGATAAGTTAATGATACACATTTAAATCAAGATCTAGTATTGGTACTACTTTAAGTACCCCTACAATGTATATCTACTGAAAATTTCCCTGGTAAGTACTGAAAATTTCCCTGGTAGACGTCTACTATGCAGTACCCCTATCTACTGAAAATTTCCCTGGTAAACGTCTAATAGTACATCTATCTTCTGACACGGTCTGAGGTAAATTAATGCCTACCTGTATATTATGTCTGGAATATCCTTATTTATAAGTGCAATTGTATTGTAATATGTATCTTTTGGTCACCAGAGGTTTTAAGATGTTAAAGAATATCTCGTGAAAATTTTATAAAAAAGGTTACTTAACGACCATAACACGCACGTGAAAAAGACAGAGCAGACGAGCAGAGGTCATATTAATTAAATCTATGAGCTTTGATTTGAAATAAAAATGGATTATTTTGAAACCAAAATGATTTTATTGCACCTTAACCAACACCAGGTTTGTCAAAGCTGTCTGGTAAGGTGTTGTAAAGTGTTCTACAATTCTGCCCTTGTTACATATATATTGGCTAGGCAATTTCTGATCAAGTGTTTTGTTGCAAATTCTTTATCATTAAATCTCTGTTTATTGAAATGTGTACACTATAAACATTTTAAGTTCCCTCTACCATGCTGGTTTTCAAACAAACTGTGCTTGAAGCTGATTTCAAGAAATGACGTCAAAAAGCAAAGCTAGTGGATTACACTAGTCTTCTATCTGTGTGACCTTTGGGCATAAAATGGGTGTGTAGGTCAGGAGATTGGGAAACAACTCCTCCCCACTGATTCTCTCTACCAGACTTGGTGCTGAACAGCCTGCTGGATTCCAGTCTTGGATCAGCCTGGGTGTTGGGAAAGTCCGACCTTGAGTAACCTTTCGTCTGGTGTAGGCAACTGTACTTAGTATTGCAGATTTCTCTGTAAAACTACATTTGCAGTTTTGATCTCATTGAAATAAGTTGGAATTTATGTAATTAAATCCTAAAGCATAAGGATATCTTTTGATATTGGTTAATTGGTCCTCGAAAATTGTGAGATTTACGGGATTTGACTTGTTGAATGCTATAGTGCCCTTGTACTTTTTTTTGCATTCTGTGCTGACATGGGAATAGTTTTTGATTGCTTAAGTACAGATGTTGTGTTAATGATATAGAAAGGTTCATAGAGGACTTCGCAGAAATATGTTAATTATGGTTGTGTTTTGGATATCAATGGCTTAGATGAGTTGGTAGAGGTTTCATCATGAAGAGGAGTTTGTTGTTTTAGTATTATGTTTAAATACCATTGGGACAGAAGGTCTTCTTTAAATGGACACTGCTTTGACTTAGACCACTGATGGTCATTTCTCATGTGATGTAACAGTCAGTTTGTCTTCCTGTCTTCCAAACTTTCTCTAGTGTCCCGATTTCTGTAATAATGGTTTGATTCCACCATATTTCTTACCCTGGTCTTACTGAGTCAGTGTAATTAAATCCATGGAAAGAAAGTGTTACTTTGGTTTGTGGAACTGTGTAAGAATACATATAAATGACAGGAGATAGGGAAATGCTGAAGTTAGCTTTGGTTTGTAGAACTGTGTAAGAATACATATAAATGGTAGGAGATAGGGAAATGCTGAAGTTAACTTTGGTTTGTAGAACTGTGTAAGAATACATATAAGTGGCAGGAGATAGGGAAATGCTGAAGTTAGCTTTACAGTTATACTTACTGTTTATAAGCATCGAGTTACTCACAAATTGGGCTTGTAAGGGAGTATTGCCAAAAGTTATATTGACACTTGCCCTTGGCACAGTCATCTTATTGAATGAGGTAGAAATTTGGAGACTAACGTCAACTATCTGGCTGTGGTTAGTTAACATCACTTTGGCTAATTAATGAATTATTCACACTTTGTATCCTCTGATCTGGTACATTCCTGTCTAGCTTGTTCATCACGTCTAATTAGTCGAAATGTCACCTGCTCCTTTATTATCACTGTAAAGTTGTCTGATTGTGGTATGCCCCTTTAGACCCCACTAATGTGCTCTTTCTCGGGAGAGAAGGCGGGAGAAATTCATAATAAGACCTTCCCCCTAGAGAAAAGGTGTAAGGGCTGCCTCTGAAGGTCGAAGCAATCTCTGATGTGAGGAGTCAAATTCATTTATCATATCACTGCTTCAATAATAAATGGGGCACTCTATTGTTTTTGTTGAGAGCTGCTGGTATTTATTTGGTGGCTGCTGTTAAAAATTTCACTTGGATGCATCTACTGTGCTGCCTATTAGAATGTTGATGGATCTTGTGTTCTGTCTACTTAATAAATAACATGCCTCCCTTGTGAGGAAGTATAATAACTTGATGTGTTTTACCATTGTAAGACACACCTGTTTTACTGTAGAGTCGAGCTGTTCCCATCAGGTATGGCAGACTAGGATTTTTTTAGTCTAGGAAACGTGGTGACACATATCTAGTCTGTTGTCAGTGGTTAAATCTCACTGAGATCTGCCTATCCTGGTCACTGGACATCACAGTGGACTATCAGCAGTGATGGGTCCAGTTTTGACGTTTCCACCACACAGATTCTAGCTTTATTGATCGATTCCCTATGCATTCTCCACCTTACAAAGATGATGTGAGTTTATTGGTATACGCTACTTTGCGGTATCACTAATATGTTACAGGAATGAACTGCATCATCAATAAGATATGAAGAAAATATTTGATCAGCAGTGTCTTATTGCACTTAGTGATATATGCGTTCTGACCGCTCCCCAGACACTGTGTGTATTTACCAGGTAATTGATAGAATCATTAAAGACTGGTTTATACCACAATGTCATAAAGAGCTGCACAAAAAAAATCACTAACAGCAATATAATGACCAATACAGTATTTACTGTCCGTTTTCCCACCATGTCGCTTATGGATCTTCCAACAACCAGTCGTCACCCCTACATTAGTCTGCTCCCTTGGATAATCCGTTTTGTCGGGCCTCTCCCTCATATGATTAAGAATGGGTATATTACTACTAATACAATAGCATGCCGAATGTGATTGATGTTTAAATGTGTGTTGTGTATACGTGTAAGTAAGTACCTCTACTCAACCATGTTGCCTTTACATTGTAATATTCAGCAATCAATGTGAAACAGTTAAGACAGAATCAATAACTGTCTTATCCTAACTCAGAGTGATCTCCCCCTGGGGAGGATCTGGGTAGATCTGGATTGTGTATGTCAGGTACAGTTAGTGTTAGTATATGTCCCAGTTACACCCAAAACAGTACTATAACTAAAGCAGACAAACACTTTTTTTGGTATTCAATATTAAAAAACAGTAATACTGATGTTTTATAAAGTGAATACAACATAGTGACAAAAGGCAACAAGTTTAAATACACATCAAAACCTACAATCTACATGTATTTGATATTAAGGATGATATACATTAAGACCTATTTGATATTAAGGATGGTATACATTAAGACTTATTTGATATTAAGGATAATAAAAATTAAGACTTTTTATTTGATATTAAGAATGATATACATTAAGACCTATTTGATATTAAGGATGAAATAAATTAAGACTTATTTGATATTAAGGATGGTATACATTAAGACTTATTTGATATTAAGGATGATATACATTAAGACTTATTTGATATTAAGGATAATAAAAATTAAGACTTATTTGATATTAAGGATAATAAAAATTAAGACTTTTTATTTGATATTAAGGATGGTATACATCAAGACCTATTTGATATTAAGGATGATATACATTAAGACTTATTTGATATTAAGGATGATATAAATGATAAATGTTTTTGGTGTATGTTGCAGTTGTAAGCCATCCACCAGCATTTGTAGCATGTGGACCACAGAAGAAGGGCTACTGTCTCAACTCGGGCGAGTGTCGTGTGATCGTGTCCATGAACCTCACCAAGTGCCAGTAAGTGACTGACCATTCTGCAGTGTCTACATGTACAGCACCCTTTGCCACCACAGATTACCACTCCTGGGGATTAACACATACTTAATATCCAATTCCTTCAGCTGTTTTGTAACGATTAAAAAATGCAAGCTTGAAATTATAAATAGTAACAGCACATGTTTCTATATATATATATATAATATTCTTGTGCAATATTGATGCTTAACATCAAAGATAACATTAACTTTGTCAGTGATATCTCCTGAAGGTGTTAATGTACACATCTCTTTACATGTTGGCACCGACTCAAACACCTTTCCCTAGAAACTCATCATTTATTGAAACTGATCAAGTTTTACAAAAATTATAGAAAAAATTTCATTTAGTGCACATATCAATTTCTATCTAAAATTGTTTATGTTAACTTTGAAATTTTTAAAAGTGGTATTGGGTTTCGGTGTAGTTGGCAGGACCTGGTATTTGGGGAGGAGGTAGAGGAAGAAATGTGCATGTTTGGCAGGAAGGGGGTGATGTTCAGGAAGAGGAGTGATCAGGGGTATGGGAAAGGGGGATGAGTTGATGTCTATGTGGCAGGTGGGTGGGTGAAGGGTGCAGAGAAAGAAGAAGAAAGTGTGGAGGTGATGTTCAGTAAATAAACAGCGCTTCCCACACAATCAAAGTGTGCTGTAAGAACAACAAAGTCCACCTATAACATCATTCAGATCAATTGTGTTGTACTGCGTTTTGTTCACTAAGATACTATAACTGTAACTACATGCTCCCCTAGTTCCAACATGTTGTTGCTGACTTCAGTCATGCACAACACCATTCATGAAGCCTTGTGGTTAATTGATAGGTAGAAATGCACATGAATAAAAAAAGTGAAATATGTGCATCTATACTTAGTAGTGATTAGAGTATGTCTGGTACTTGTTCCTGGTTTCTGGGCTCCCTGGTACTTGTTCCTGGTTACCAGGTTACCTGGTACTTGTTCCTGGTTCACCATCCTCCCTGGTTATAGGGATATATGTTAAATGTTTCTGGTAACTGGGCTAACTGGTACTAATTCCTGGTAACTGGGCTACCTGGTACTGGTTGCTGGTTACCATCCTCCCTGGTTATGGGGATATATTATAAATGTTTCTGGTAACTGGGCTACCTGGTACTGATTCCTGGTTACTGGGCTACCTGGTACTGGTTCCTGGTTATCAAGCTACCTGGTACTGGTTCCTGGTTACCATCCTCCCTGGTTATGGGGATATATGGTAAATGTTCCTGGTTACTGGGCTCTTTGGTACTGCTTCCTGGTTACCAAGCCAACTGGTACTGGTTTCTGGTTACAGGGCTCCCTGACACTTCCTGGTCACTAGTCCACAGTTGTGATGACCCTTTCAACACTGTGGACTATAATGGACTCATCCAGATAAATGTATGGTAGAGTCTACTAAAGGGGTGAAAGGGATAACAGGACAACAGGATCTACTAAATATGAAGTTCACATCTAGCCACCCAACTGACAGAACAACTTTTAGAATTACCTATGGGATGTCTATTTTCAAAACTTTTAAAAAAGTGTCTGTTGAGGAAAGAGTAAAATTATGCAGATTTAGAAATTAGTTAGGGAGTAGTACATGTTTTCTAGCTGGGGGGTCTACGTCAGGAGTTTGGATGTGGGGAGGATAGCATGAGTGTCTGTATGGTGGGAGGGGGATCGGTAGGGNGGGGGGGGAGGGGGAGTTGATAAGTTGGAGAAGGAGGGACTGCCAAAACCCAGACTGTGGCAAGACAGTGTCAAATCTAAGCTGCTACACTGTTCCAACTCAATCAGACAGAGTGTGCACTACATAATGAAGCTAATTTTGATCAGAATTATGTGTACCATTTAGGAAACCCACTGCAGGATGTGGCTTTTTCAGATTAGCAAGGACATCCTTAACACTTTATTTTTATCTAAATGTTTATGTTTTGCAAATTGAATACAGAAAATAAGCACTGACATGATACACCGATTTAAATATCTTCAGAGTACATGTTCAACACTTTTAATGTTTTTACAAATTGTATAAATTTCATTGAATTGAGATGAAGTAAAGTAGCGGGTATGTCCAGTGATTCTGTGGTGGTGAAGGGTCCGGCTGTCCAGTTGGTAACCCTCCTTGGGAAGCATGCTGGAAGAATAATAGTATTTCTATACATACATGTACCTTTGCTGGTAATTCATGACATTCTGTATTTCTAGCAACTTTTTTTTTTATATTTCTACCAAGAATGCCAAGGGCTATAGCGCTAGCCTGAATTATCTGTATCTTTTTCTGGTAATGCTGATGATATCTTATTGTCTTTATGATGCTCCACTGAATGAAAGTCTCTGTTAGCAGTAAGTCTATATAGTTGCTCTTGTAACCACATGCAATTTCAACTTTCTAACATTGACTAATTACCAATTAAACAATTTTATACATGTGTCATAAAATCTAATGACATAACATGTAGGTATGGTATACATGTTTAAATCTAAATGGCAACATGGCATAGGTCATATGTCGTTATCAAATCACGTTTCTTCATGGATCCATAGTTATGTTCCATTAAAACTTTTATTGTATACACATGTTGTTAGTCACGGGGATGTCATTGTGATTGAAGTTGTAACAAGTTTTAAAGTTTGTTTGAAGTGATATTTCAAAATATTAGAAAGTGTTAAATATAGATCCATCAACGATGAAAACAACTGTGACTTAGTTCGGAAGACAATTAAAGAAAATTAGAAGAAAAGGAAAAAAGTATTAGATGAAAATGGTTGATTAGATGAAACATGGGCTGAGTTTTAATTAGTTGTTATGTGGCATTTCTACAAACGGTTTAGCTAGATTAGACCTCAGCAGACTGTGGTCCTAGATAGTTACAAAAGTAAAGTACATGTACTCTGACACACGACAATCACTGTAATACAGTATCGGCGAAGTGATTAGTGATCCAACAAAATGACCTTAATGTCAGGATTTACACATTACAGATAAACTAAACAATAACACTACTAGGGTGTAAATCATGGTGTTTTGACAAGGGGGTCTTCTTACTTTTAATTGTGCTGTCTTTGTAAGGTTGAGGTTAGGAAGAAATTGCCTTCGGTGATTTGTGAAATGCTTAATGATATGCAAAAACAAAACAAGTAGGGAGCATTGTAAATACTGACTGAATTGTCAATGAGAAACGTGATGTTTTAGTATGTGATTTGTCAATGTATCTGCAGATGTCACTAATAGATATAACACAATACTGATGTCAATATTCAAAACCTGCTAACTCATGCCTTCTAATGACCGGTGGAATATCAAGTACTTCAGACATGGATAGTGGTGTAAGGCTACACAATGTAGACCACCCCAGTGATGTCATTTAGAATACAACTGTAATTTTTCATTAAAAATAATTGCTTTTAAGGTGCAGGTAAGTACATTGTCATGATATTGGTGGACTTGTCCTAAGTCAAGACAGAGATATAGCTGCTGCTTCTCCATCAGAGCCTCGAAATACATGTATTATAAAAATATCACTTTCACTGTGTTTTTTTTTATTAATTTCAAACATCGAAAACATTGCATTTAGAAGTATTTACGAGTATTTTGTGGAGCTTTTTGATGGGGTTGCAGTAGTGTGTCAGTATGACCATGCTAACAGGGGTGATGGTGTATTTGTTTAGCTGCAGAGGCACCTATCGTGGCGCGAGATGTGAGGAACGCATCCGACACCTACCAGATCTGCCCGTTGTGGATAGAGGAAAGGGTAGGATCCCTGTCACTGTTCATGTCTGCATTCAAGTTCAATCAGCCTGAACTCACAGCATGTCATGTCAGGCTCTACATGTTAACGTGGCAAAACACACCTTTTTTGGGTCTAAAATTGCCATATTGTAACGAAACAGCCTTTTTTGGGTCTAAAATTGCCATATTGTAACGAAACAGCCTTTTTTGGGTCTAAAATTGCCATATTGTAACGAAACAGCCTTTTTTGGGTCTAAAATTGCCATATTGTAACGAAACAGCCTTTTTTGGGTCTAAAATTGCCATATTGTAACGAAACAGCCTTTTTTGGGTCTAAAATTGCCATATTGTAACGAAACAGCCTTTTTTGGGTCTAAAATTGCCATATTGTAACGAAACAGCCTTTTTTGGGTCTAAAATTGCCATATTGTAACGAAACAGCCTTTTTTGGGTCTAAAATTGCCATATTGTAACGAAACAGCCTTTTTTGGGTCTAAAATTGCCATATTGTAACGAAACAGCCTTTTTTGGGTCTAAAATTGCCATATTGTAACGAAACAGCCTTTTTTGGGTCTAAAATTGCCATATTGTAACGAAACAGCCTTTTTTGGGTCTAAAATTGCCATATTGTAACGAAACAGCCTTTTTTGAAACACAATTAGATTAAGGTAACTTTTAAGAAAATGGATTACTCAAAATTTTGAATAGAAATATTAATAATACAAAATATTCCAAGTGAGTTTTTAAGCAAGATTGCATGCTGAATATATTTCTTTGCAAGTTAAAGACTGAGAGAAGTAGCATAGTTTTTCAATAATCAGTTAAAATAATCTGCAAAATGAAAATATTTGATACCTACAGTAAAATAAAGATTGGATATATCAATTTTAAATTTCTAATGCATGACTTTCAACAAAGGTTTTAAAGATAAAAGTTTATTATGCATGAAGCCGACACAAAGACCATTTATATAAAAGATGTAAATTGTTAATTTATCTATAACATTGTCAACCAAGCATGCAGAGTTTTGCACCACAATTATACATCGCCTCATATATCAAGGCATCGATTATTAGATTGATTTTGGTTCATTTTTTGTTTTTGACAAAAGTAATGGAAAATGAAAAAGCATGATAAAATGTTATCTTATTCAGAAATCAGTACTAATGATGTTAACACAAGTTATATTTTTATTTTCACTGGTAAAACATAGTTTATTTTTGAGTTGTACTGAACATCCACTGAAATTCAGCATTCGGAAGAGCATGGCAATGGTAGGTAGGACGACATTGAGATTTTTGGTAACCTGTAGAAGAACGTACAGCCTACAGTACAGCATGCCTTGGGATTATGTTGGATTGAACTTGAATGTTACATACTGACTGCCAGAGGAATGGACCTACCTAAGTCTGGTCAAGGCTACTAAACTCTGCTAACAAAACCCTGCACGTTTTCCTACACAGCACCCCTCCAACAGTCCTTAGTGTCAGCATCACACTCGACAGTCACTAAACTGGCGTCAAAATCAGTACATTTATGTAATATGAAAAAATTCACTGAAAACTTTTTTGTACAGAATGTGTGACTTGAGTCTGACCTGACCTCTGACCTTTTGGAACCAGTGCTGTGATTGGTCTGCTTGCAATCCTGCTGAGATGCCTGCACACAAGTCATCCAGTTGTTTCCTTTGTATATATGCCTTCTGTGATTGGTTTAAACTCATGTCTTTCCTTTCTATCCGTTGCTCTGCTAGGTGTCCACAAACTCATCAGGGGACTCGGTGCCAGTACAGAAGCCCATTTGTATTTCCATATTATGAGGGTATGTATCAATGGAAATCTACCCTATTGTTTCTATTGTCATGGCCACACCCAAGTAACAAACAGTGCTGAGATGATGGTCTTTGAAATGATCGAGTACCCAACTTTTAAGCCAACTAATTTTTTGAACAATTGAAAATGTTCTTTTCGTTTAGTAAAGTAACATAGGAATTGCAGAAAACCCTGAAAAAAAGTACAATAAAATGATGGTATGCAATATTTGGGGAAAACTTGCAATTTTTTTTTCGTCCTTTGTAATAAGCCTGGATTTATCATGACAAAGTATATAAGTACACAGCAGTTCACACTGGGCCAATGTGTAGTTTACCAGTTCACACTGGGCCACTGTGTAGTTTACCAGTTCACACTGGGCCAATGTGTAGTTTACCAGGGAAGGATGACAGTTGAACTGGGTGAAAGTCTTCTTGTATACATATTGAGTTATCCAAATTAATGTTTTACCTAGTTGCTGCCAATTGTTGGGTGTGGTTGTCATCATGGGGGGGGGGGGGGGGGGGGGGGGATGTGGAATTATTGGGAGGGTCATGTGATTCCATTTGGACTTCCCGGGGCTCCTGATAAGGAGACCAAGTGATCGTTGGAGTTGCTTACAATACATACTGTTGACGTCATATTTTACCATATTTCATTTGTTTATCACAACATTTATCATTGTCCTTGTTTACATATATAAATATATGTATATATATCAGTCCTAGGGTCTTCTGACAGACCCAGTTCTCTCCCCTGTCTTCTATTTGACATATACACATGTGTTACTCAATCACCAGCTCTGAACCACGCCCCCTTCTTTTGAGCCACACCCCCTCCTTTTGAGCCACACCTTCTCCTGTGTGCTGTGGGGGAACTTGATGTTGTACGTGCTTTCTAGACGTTATATAGAAGCTCAGTGGTGTCAGGTACAAGCACTGTTTTATTTATATGAACGTTTGCTGCAAAAACTTTCCACACATTCAGTTCGTATTTAACAAGGAATTACATTTTGCACTGCAATTTTGGTGTGCAGACGGAATAATTGATATTGCACAAGTGAATACCATCATTTGCCCAAAAAACATGCTAGGGGAATGCAAACATGTAGTTTTCATCTCATTTGAATTCAACGATCACATATATACATGTGGTTTTCGTCTCAACAGTACAAAGATCACAGGCAATGGTGTTGTTTTCATGTCAATATAAAGATCACAAATGTTGTATACAACCTGAAAACTTCAACTGGCGAAACAGTGCTGTTATGGGGATAAGAATATGTCACATTGATATGCATAAAATCCCCAGGTGTATTATAATGTTTTCTCCAGAACGAGGGATTGTGAATTGTGGTCATCCCCTTCTCTATTTTGAAATTTTGCTTTTTATAACACTACCTACTCCCCCCACTCCTTCCACTCTTTTTTACAACCTGTAGAAAAAATTGGTGTACCTCGGCGTTCACAGAGGCAAGTTAACTTTGGATGGAAACCTCCATACTGGTCCTTCACATCTCTATAATCAGACATTATCCACCATACTTGCCAGCCACACGCGCACACACACACACAAAAATGCTAAGTTGCAAACTTATTTATAACTTGACTGAAGAGGACAGTGTTTAACATGTTGTTGGCTTTTTAAAAAAAAAAGCAGTGATTAGTGAAAGGTTAGGGATATAAATATAGACACTTAGTGTAATTTGACNGAGGGGAGAGCTACTTCTAGCTGGCTGCTAAATTTGTCATCCCCCAATCAAGTAGCCTGTTTTTGTGCTAAAGATTGAGGAAGCACTTAATTGAGCTGTTACTGCTGATAATCAATGCCGACATGTGAGATCTACGGACTATATCTCCATCCACAGACAATCTCTTGGGACAGGTCTCTATTCAAACTGGACAAAATCCTATAGTAATATGATGTATATAGATAGCAAGCTACATTATGTAGCTAGTACCATGCAAGCAAACAGAGTGTCTGGGGGAGGGGGTTATTATTTTTTTTTCCCACCACGCCTGTTTATATAAGATTATGGGTAGAATGCTTGCAATTTGCTTGATGCATAAGTCAGGTTTCAGTGTTTTGTGGCTAAAGTTATTAAGATTGAATGCTAATTCAATATAAAAACAATCCCAGTAACAGTGTTGACTTCATACCCAGCTCGTGGGCATGTAGTGTACAGAAATATTAGGTATAATGTTTTTATATTCACACATTTATCACTATGTCCAAACAAACTGGACCTATACACACGGTGGGCTTTACATAAACATTTTAGACTGCCAGCAGCATTTCTTTGAAAACAATTAGCATAAAATCTGGAATGCTGGACCCTCCCAGGGATATTTACAAAGAAAACATAACCACTATTGCAGAACTGCCCTAGTGGAATCTTCACATTGTTTTGACTTTGGTGCTCCCAGCTGCTGCCATCAGTTTAGAGCTTATTATTTCTCTATCTGTTGTATGTTGTTTTGGCTGCCTGAAGTTAAACTGTTTGTGCTGATAATCATGGTTTGAATATAGAAGTAATTGGCTGTAAATTAAGGTCGTGACACCTACCTGTACCTGTACTCGTGCCACATATAAAGGGAGATAACTCAGATTTTAAGCTGCAGTGCTTTAAGTTAAAAAGTTCCAAGTTTTCATTTCAAGACTAAAAGTGGATATTAGTTGAGATCATTCCTTAAGTTCTGTAGACAGATTCCTTGTCATTAAGTAGGGTTTTGGCTGACCAGCATGTCAGGATACTGTCAACATGGCAAGGCTCCAGGAGTCTTGACGTTCACACAGAGCAAACAATCTCTGTCAACATAGCCATATGGCAGCTTCCAAAGTGGCTTGAGCTGCTGCCTGGGCAGTTATGGAACCCTGGTAGAGTTACGGGATGTTTCATTGGTTGCTGTGGGAGCTAATGACTGATGACCATATATAGAAATAATGAAGCATGTTCTATAATAGTTATGTGGATTTATTACCATCATTACGGTCATTTAACGAGTATCAGATGTTTTATCACAGGATGTCTTTATTAGGGAAAATAAAAGGAAAAAACATATTTGATCAGGGAAGGAGAGTGGGAATAGGATGGGTAACCTGGTTAAAGATGGGGGTAAGGGATGGTGGTTAATATTTGAAATTACAGGGTTGGCCACAAATACCACTTCACTTGAGGAATTAATAAACAGAATGATATTTGATTAATTGAATATAATTTACAAAACAAACAAAAATAAAGTTAATTATTGAAGAAATTAATCAATTATTATGTACGGTAACTTGAGGCATGAAGTAAAACCAAACATCAGGTTAGTTACATAAAAGTCTGTCAGCTTAACGCCAATCTTCAAGTTGTGTGAAAGTCTGCTAGACTCTTATTTAAGTAGTTTCATTGTACATCTGTGCTAGGGGAAGAGATGGGTGTTTTCAAAGTTGACTCATTCGAACCTTAACATGCTATCATATTAATTCCCATTCTTTCTCTGTGTAACTGAATCAGTTGAGCAGAACAAATCAACAGGTAGATGATCTTAGGCAGGTGTATGTATATGTGACACAACGCCCAGACCATGTGTTATGGTCTGATGGTTAAATGTGAGTAAACATCCAAAAGCTGTTGTTCCGGGTACAACACATATAAACCTTTTATTATACAAATCAACCCACTGATAACAGTTAAAATCCTCTCGTGCCCACCATCCACACAAACTCACTCCATGGTACAGATTTAAATCCTCCTATAGCTGTCATCCACATAAACCTTCCCTATGATAGAGAAGTAAACTCTCATAGCCATCCATCCACTCAAAACCAACCCAATGGTATCTTAAAGTCCACATTCATGCCAGCCTGCACAATGGTAAGAAAGGTTACCATGTCCAGCCAACCTCCATACAGGCCAGACTATGGAGAATCCCTCATAGTCACTATCCTCGCCAACCCTCACACTGAAAGGGAGTTAATCCTCCTATAGCCAGTTTTCACATTAATCTATTAGGGAAAATATCTGCTTAAAAAGCTTTTGTATTAATTTTTAAGTGTTATTAGGGTGGAAGCTGGGGTTGAGGGGAATTCTGTTGTTTTATGTTTTGATTTTGACACACACACTAACAGTAGATGTTTTGTTTTTATTATTGAATGGACTAATTTGCTTCTCGTGTGTGATGAATAGTCATCACTGCCCTCATCTTGTCGGTGATCATGATGCCCTCATCTTGTCAGTGATCATTGTTGCCCTCACTTGTCAGTGACCATATTTGCCCTCATCTTGTCACTGATCATTGTTGCCCTCATCTTGTCAGTGATCATGGTTGCCCACATCTGTTCACTGTTAGTCTTGCCTGATCAGTTGTCAGCACTGCCCTGTCTGATATTTCCTGACCAGCAATCAGTCATCATCTTTACTTGATCATTGAACATTGTGATTTATGTTAATGAAATAATCTCATGTTTAAATCCATTTTAAAATGACCTTAGGTCTCATTTATATATTTGTGCACATCTTCATTTGATAGCAAGTGTAAGTGTATGGGAGAGGGTATCATTAATTGTTGGGAGGGAGAATTGTCACTTCATATGTTCATCAATCATGTATCATCATTGAGTAGGCCACCTAGTTGCTTACAGATCTGTCTGCTTATGTCATAATCAGAGACAACACTAATTCATGTAATTAATGAGTTTTTTCTTCAAATATTTATACTACATGTATTCATTTATATCCATGTATTCATTCTTGCTAGTACCGTCTTACTTGTCAATAAAGGCAGGTATAGAACACTGAAGGGTAGTTATAAGAGTAGGGAGTTCTAAAACACTTGAGGATTAACAGTTACAACAGTTGTTAGGATACAGACAGGTGGATGTTCAGCTAGGTTGGTCTGTTTGATGATTATCACTGATGAAATATTCGCTACCAAATCTTATTTTATGGAAAATTTAAAACTGTAAGAAGCAAAAGTAAAGCTTACTTTCCTTGTTACAAAAGAGGAGTATAGCATATTATATGATGTCATAGTTTTTCTTTTCAACAATGGAAACCTTGCAAAGATTTTATGTAATATATTATACTATGTTAGCAAGTTAGCCTATAGCAAGGCCTGGTTTTACTGGGATACAGTATAAGGGAGATAACTCAAATAGAACAGCTAATAACTTTTCTAGTCTTTGTTGGCAGAGAGACATTAATGTGTTGTCTATTTTGCAGGCACACAGGCACACGAGAAGGACCGCACAGTAACCATCATTGGAATTGTGATTGGCATATTGATTTTTGTATGCATTTGTATCGCTTCTTACTTCCTGGCAAAGTAAGTCTCCTGTCTTTTTTTACTTATGCTTATATTTCTGATAATTTTACTAAATAACGCAATCTCGAAATATTCTCCTCAGTTGCTTAATCTTTAGCAGAAACACCAAATATGTTTAAGACAATTAATCTGAAACGAATATAATACAAAAATATCTATTGTACAAAATAAAACTGAAAAGGTGCAATAATTGCGACGTCTAGCGGAGGGAAGTAATATATGTTGTGTTTGCCTGTAGGAGGCGAAGAGAACAGTTCCTGAAACGCCAGGAAGAAAAGAAACGCAAAAACAGCAAGTTAGACAGTCAGGTATACATTCCCCCTAGTTACCGCCTCCTTAACTCCATGGACGATGTGGACGGAGGAACCGCACCCAAGATCAAAACCCTGCCACCAACACTGAAGGATTATATACATATGGTGAGAGGGCCTGTATGGTCTGAGGACACTTTTATAACACATAGCACGTGTATCTGGGAAATATGACGGTGAAGGATAATGTCACCATTAGATCTGTCAGGTTGTTATGTAGCACTTAACAGTTTATCACCATACTTTTTACAAAAGAAAAAAATCACAGGAATTATATTGTCAAAAGTGCGTTCTGTTGTTTTATGATGGCTACAGGAACAGTCTTGATATTTCTTATTTATCACAAAATGTACTGTGTTATCCAGTGAATATACCCATGTCATACTTTTTTTGTGTATTAACCCATGTAATATGACCTACCTATGATTGGTTGTAAGTTTGTATTGTTTCAATTGTGATGTTACGCCTAGGACAAGTACATGACATCATAGACTTGCACACTGGAGTCAAAATGGCGGCTTTTTACATTTCAAGGTTGCATGAAAATTGTTGTTTTACGCAAATATATGCCACAAATCATGATTTTGTGATAAAAATTATCTTTCACTCGTTTTCTTTTCATATGAATTTTATGAAACTTGTCATGAATTTTTCATTTTAGCTTGCCAGAGACTCGCTAAATTGAAAAATTCTTAGACTTGTTTCATAAATCTCATATGAAATGGAAACTCATGTAAGATCCTATATATGTTTATCACATAAAGCCATTTATTGTAACACTGTTGTTATTGGTTGTTTTTTTACAGGAAACCCAAACAGATGAGACAAGCTTCATGCCTGCGAATCCTAATGCAAACATGAGGCTCCACAGCAACCCCCTCAACAGATTTCCTCAACATACCGCAACCTCACCGGCAAATCCACGCAACAGACTCTCGGCAGTATCTGTTGATGGGAAACAGCCAAACAGCCGTGCTTCTACAGGATCTGGGATCCACCCACTGACTCATGGTGATCACAACTCTCCCGAGTCATCTCTGAGTGCAAGCATCCCAAAGGAAACCAAGCCTGGAACCTCCCAGGAGGCCAAACTCAAGGCCATATTTGAACCTCCTCCCCCCTATAATGGGTGTGCTCCCATTGCCATACCTGTGTTGCGCATGGACTCAGCGGGTGGGGCCAGTAGCGAGGAGGAGGACCCCCAGAACACAGAAGCTTTGATCCCGCTCCACATCAGTGAGGGCGAGGACGATCGCTCATTAAATAGCCCAATCTATGGGAGCTCTGCATTTCCCCACAAAAAAAAAATCTTCAATAGTTTGGGGAAGGCTGCCCCATCACGACAGGTAGATACCAAGGCAGAGATCCCCATTTATGTAAATGCTAATGGTGTTGGGTCACAATCCTCTCTGACCTTTAGTGACTCCTCATCAACAACTGGTAGTGCAGACAGTGAGGTTAGTGCTGTGTATAACTACCCCATATATGATTCCCAAACCAAAGACTATCCCGACAGCATTTCCTGGAATGAGCGAGGCTCCCCAGAGCATGTGATCGCTGACAAGGATTGCCCCATACTGCCTGGTAAAAAGCCTCAAGTAGACTATGTAGACAAATCGTACTTGCCTTCCAAGTTGCCGAGGGCAGATTATCATGATATCCACCTGGATAAAAAGAACAAGCTGCGTAATGTGGTTGTTAGTGAACCATCTGTGCCAGTCTGAGGGTGAAACCACATGTTCACACAAACACTGGATTCAGAGTTGAACCACGAGTTCACCACAGTGCCGAGGACAGAACCATGTGATAATTCAAGTCTGATGGCAAAAACTACATGTTTAGCCCAGCTAAAATCAGAGGGCAGAAACACATGTTCACCGCAGCACTAGTCGTAGAGCATAAACCACATGTTCGCCCCAGGTATGAATTTAGGGCAAATGTTCGCCCAAGCTTAGATCTGAGGGCATAAATTACATGTTCACCCCAGCTGTGGATAAAGGGGCAAAAGCGCATGGTGATGCTGTGATGTTACGGTGTCCGCCAGTACTGTAGTAGTATTAGTTCAGAACACTCATCACTTAAAAACGTTTTTTCATATTGATTTTGATCTTGCTTGCATTTCAAAGAAAAGTTGATAAAATATCATTTTTTCTTTCTTATTTCGAACACATTGTCTGTGTATTATCCAATTATCTGTCAAGGAGCGAGGTAACTAGATTTGTTTTTGGGCTGCATTGAACTTGCTATGTGAGTATAGCCTGTGCAAGAATTATCTGTACAATTTATACTTAAGTGATCATTGTACTGTTTATATTATAATATGCAGTGAACAAATTTCTTCCATTCCATGCATTTATGTGATTCAGCATAAAAAATGTATCATTTTCTTACAACACACCTTGTCTAGCAGTCCAGACTGAAATGCAGGTTTCTTCTTTTAAGTTTTGATGTTTTAATTTGCTCCAATAACCTATAAAAGGAGTTATGCAAGCATTATATTATATATATAACCAGTCAACTTAAAATGTACAAGAAACTTTGGGAAAAGAAATATAAAATGAATTCTTTATAGGTTAAGTTCAGATTGATCAGTTAAACATAACCTTAGATGTTAAGTGATACTCCACATAGATGTTATAGTAACACCTATACTATAGTCTGGATGTTATAGTAACACCTACAGCTAGGATGTTATAGTAACACCTATACTACAGCCTGGATGTTATAGTAACACCTACAGCTGGGATGTTATAGTAACACCTACAGCTGGGATGTCATAGTAACACCTACAGCTGGGATGTTATAGTAACACCTATACTACAGTCTGGATGTTATAGTAACACCTACAGCTAGGATGTTATAGTAACACCTACAGCCTGGATGTTATAGTAACACCTATACTACAGTCTGGATGTTATAGTAACACCTACAGCTGGGATGTACTAGTAACACCTACAGCTGGGATGTTATAGTAACTCCTACAGCTGGGATGTTATATTAACACCTACAGCTGGGATGTTATAGTAACAACTACAGCTGGGATGTTATAGTAACACCTACAACTGGGATGTTATAGTAACACCTATACTACCGCCGGGATGTTATAGTAACACCTACAGCTGGGGTGTCATAGTAACACCTACAGCTGGGATGTAATAGTAACACCTATACTACAGTCTGGATGTTGTAGTAACACCTATACTACAGTCTGGATGTTGTAGTAACACCTATACTACAGTCTGGATGTTGTAGTAACACCTATACTACAGTCTGGATGTTATAGTAACACCTACAGTCTGGATGTTATAGTAACACCTATACTACCGCTGGGATGTTATAGTAACACCTACAGCTGGGATGTTATAATAACACCCACAGCCTGGATGTTATAGTAATACCTACAGCTGGGATGTTATAGTAACACCTACAGCTGGGATGTTATAGTAACACCTATACTACAGTCTGGATGTTATAGTAGCACCTACAGCTGGGATGTTATAGTAACACCTACCACTGGGATGTTATAGTAACACCTATACTACAGTCTGAATGTTATAGTAACACCTACAGCCTGGATGTTATAGTAACACCTATACTATAGTCTGGATGTTATACATGTAGTAACACCTACAGCTGGGATGTTATAGTAACACCTACAGCTATGATGTTATAGTAAAACCTACAGTCTGGATGTTATAGTAACACCTATACTACCGCTGGGATGTTATAGTAACACCCACAGCCTGGATGTTATAGTAATACCTACAGCTGGGATGTTATAGTAACACCTAGCCTGGATGTTATAGTAACACCTACAGCCTGGATGTTCATAATCTGGGCTGAGATGTTTATTATAATATAATCTTCTGTAATTTCCCACCTGCTAGTGTGGTCTGGGCTGCTTCTGTGCTAGCATAAGATACATGTGTAAATAGTCCATGGATGACTGGGACACTTGCATGCATAATTGTATATTAAATGTCTATTTATTCTTAGAGTTCAGGAAATTATTCTAATTCAAAGTACCATTTTATCGCTTGTCAGATAGAAACCTAAGACGGTAGGACCTAGTATGAGATGTGCATGAAAGAATTTGCGCACCATGTTTGAATGTCTGCTATTTGAGTTTTTAAATTGAAATGTGCATTTACATATCCATGATATAAGCTGATATGACGATATTTGATAGCTGTGTCTGGGCCCTCTTGTATAGCAATGAACTTTATTCTATACATGTATAGTTATAAACCTAAATGACTTTTGTGTGATTGTGAATCATGGCCTTGTGTAATCGTGAACCCAACACCTGTACAACTGTGCACTCCACCATCACCTGTATACTTGTGAACCCCATTCTTTTATAACTGAGAAAACTACAACAGTATAATTGAGGCCCTACATCTGTATGATTGAGAATCTCGCTATTAAATAATTGTGAACAAGTAAATGAAAACCCTAATCCCACCTGTTTGTAAACCCTATACCACTATAAGTGTGAGCCCAACATCTGAATAATTGTGATCCCTACAAGTGTATACTTGTGAAACCATTGTGAACCTTCCACCTGTGTAAGTGTGAACCCTATCCCTGTATAATTGGAAACCAAACACCTGTGTAATTTTGAACCGTACACCTGTGTAGTTGTGAACCATACACCTGTGTAATTGTGAACCCTACACCTGTATAATTGTGAACATTTTATACCTGTATTTTTGTGAGTTGACACCTGTGTCATTTTGAACACCTGTATATTCTGAAACTTTTTGCTACATGTATGTAATGATGTTGTGCCATAGCCCAGTGGGGACCAAAGCTATGTAATAGTGTACAAGATATTATAGTATAGCACCATTTTCTACATTAGAGATACTTGTAGGTCACCATTCTCTATGGAACATTAAATGGCAAACATTCCTTTCAGTCATGCATATGTATATAGTTCATTGCAACTATTTATTATGGATCTACCCTATGTTTTGTACACTTTAATATTGACAATGTATTTATAGACTGCATGCTGAATATCATCATCTATGTATTAATTTATAAAATGCTGATCAGTGTTAACATTGATGGCCATTGTAATTAACATTTAAATGACATTGTAATTAACAATGTACACATTGCTCTAGTATAAGCTGCCATGCATTTTTATTCTTCTTCTTTGTGATATATATATTTTACCTGTAATGTTTACCTGGTATATATAGTGATGTATGTTACTTGTATTTTATGTATTTTGTCTCTTATGTCCTAGTTTATCCTTACAAAAATGCAATCTATTCATGAACAATCGTTAAGTGTTTTCAAATCATCTATATAGACATTTCACCAGGTAAAATCTTGTACGCCATTGTTAAGCTGTAGATACTGTTATATGTTATGTTATCGTTAATGACTTTTCACTTTTATTTGTGCTGAGTTGTCAGAGAGATCAGTATTATTTCATTTGTTATCATACATGTAACCTTGTTACTATGCAATGTAACTGACTGTACAGTATAGCTTTGTTACTACATTGTATACAGTGTAACTTTGTTACTAGACAGTGTAACTGTGTTACTATACACTGTAACTATGTTACTTTACATTGTAACTTTGTTACTACACAGTGTAACTATGTTACTTTACAGTGTAACTTTGTTACTACAATATGTTATGTTATCGTTAATGACTTTTCACTTTTATTTGTGCTGAGTTGTCAGAGAGATCAGTATTATTTCATTTGTTATCATACATGTATCCTTGTTACTATGCAATGTAACTGACTGTACATTATAGCTTTGTTACTACATAGTATACAGTGTAACTTTATAACTATACAATGTAACTGACTGTACAGTTTAGCTTTGTTACTACATTGTATACAGTGTAACTTAATTTCTATACAATGTAACTGACTACAGTATAGCTTTGATACTACATTGTATACAGTGTAACTTCATTACTATACAATGTAACTGACTACAGTATAGCTTTGATACTACATTGTATACAGTGTAACTTCATTACTATACAATGTAACTGACTGTACATTATAGCTTTGTTACTACATAGTATATAGTGTAACTTTATTATTATACAATGTAACTGACTACAGTATAGCTTTGATACTACATTGTATACAGTGTAACTTTGTTACTAGACAGTGTAACTGTGTTACTATACACTGTAACTATGTTACTTTACATTGTAACTTTGTTACTACACAGTGTAACTATGTTACTATACAGTGTAACTATGTTACTTTACATTGTAACTTTGTTACTACACAGTGTAACTATGTTACTTTACAGTGTAACTTTGTTACTACACAGTGTAACTATGTTACTTTACAGTGTAACTTTGTTACTACACAGTGTAACTATGTTACTATACAGTGTAACTATGTTACTTTACATTGTAACTTTGTTACTACACAGTGTAACTATGTTACTATACAGTGTAACTATGTTACTTTACATTGTAACTTTGTTACTACACAGTGTAACTATGTTACTTTACAGTGTAACTTTGTTACTACAATATGTTATGTTATCGTTAATGACTTTTCACTTTTATTTGTGCTGAGTTGTCAGAGAGATCAGTATTATTTCATTTGTTATCATACATGTACCCTTGTTACTATGCAATGTAACTGACTGTACAGTATATCTTTGTTACTACATAGTATACAGTGTAACTTAATTACTATACAATGTAACTGCCTGTACAGTATAGCTTTGTTACTACATAGTATATAGTGTAACTTTATTACTATACAATGTAACTGACTACAGTATAGCTTTGTTACTACATTGTATACAGTGTAACTTTTATTACTATACAATGTAACTGACTGTACAGTATAGCTTTGTTACTACATTGTATACAGTGTAACTTTATTACTATACAATGTAACTGACTGTACAGTATATCTGTGTTACTACATTGTATACAATGTAACTTAATTACTTTACAGTGTAACTTTATAACTATACAATGTAACTGACTGTAAAGTATAGCTTTGTTACTACATTGTATACAGTGTAACTTAATTACTTTACAGTGTATCTTTGTTATTATACAATATAACTTACTGTACAGTATAACTTTGTTACTACATTGTATACAGTGTAACTTTGTTACTAGACAGTGTAACTGTGTTACTATACACTGTAACTATGTTACTTTACATTGTAACTTTGTTACTACACAGTGTAACTTTGTTACTACACAGTGTAACTATATTACTTTACAGTGTAACTTTGTTACTACACAGTGTAACTATGTTACTATACAGTGTTACTTTGCATTATAACTGCTTCATGATACCTTAAATTTCTTTTTCTGTTTTAACATATTAATATCACCAATTTAGCCAGATGAGAATATTCAATCTCATGACATTTTAGGAGAAAACCATTAAGAATGTAGAGTTGATACAGACATGATCAGCAGAGGGTTGTGTACACAAAAAATGTCTTGAAATGTGTTCAATTTTTACTTAAGTCAAACAATATTTAACTTATACTAAGTGATAATGATAATTTTCAATATCAATTTACTGGTTTATATTACTTGTAAGTACAGTATACTTATAACCAGGAAAACTAGTACAAACTGTACAGCTGAGTACGGTGTAGGATATTGAACTAACTAGCGGTCATTGTTTGGCTATCACATAACAAACAAGGCCAACTTTAGCCCAAATTGTCATTTTAAACAATCTTCTTTTTTATCATAGGATATCAGTTGTTCACCAATCACATTCGTTTTAAATCATTTTAAAGTAATAGTAAGCAATGACCTTTGAGTTGGAAGAATAAACTGAATTGTAAGAAACTTTTTATTCATTATTTATTTCTGGTGCAAGTTCATGCAAACTTTATTATGTGTGACAGGATAATGGAGACTGTTAGTGTGCAAAGCTATCCAGTGGTCAA